TGAATGAGATACTCTTTCTATGTGGAAGTAATGAAAAAGCTGTAATATCATCCCTAAATATTCTTGATGGGGACATTGAGGGGTCCGTTGAATGCCCGGAGGATGAGGTAAACATAATTACTTTTCCACACACTATTAACATTTGATCAGGTTACGAAGTGGAACCACTCAGTACATCACCTTCATTGATCTCTTTTATGAGAAACTTCTACTGATTATGCTGATAGATACTATTTATGCTTTGAAGTCGCGCACTATTATGTAGGGTAGGAAATATTTTAAGGCTTGATTGCAATATTCTGCTTTTTTTTTCCCTTCTTTTTGCAATTGTTCTGTCTTATTACACAGGTTATTGCAAAAGCACTTGAAGATCTTTCAATTGATTCTGGCTCAGACTTGCAGAAGGTACTGAGAGTACACACATACACTTCGCGCTCAAGTGCATTTCAGAAGCTTCAAGCAATACTCCCTGCTTTCCGTAGTCGTATGGGAGCATTGCTTTTTCTAATATCTGCCTTGCTTTCTAGAGGACTGGTATGTTGCTATATTTATATATACCAGTTTTTTCTCGTGATAGTTCTTGCTTAGTTGCTTTTATTAATCAGAAAAGAAACTGGTTTCTCATGGAATTTTATTTGACATCTAAAAGATAGAGGCAATTAATGAACTGTGTCATGTCATGAAAAGAGGTGCAATAATGATAATATACTCTAAAAATTGACCCCTTTTTAAAAAAATAAAGTCCATTACCTTCCTTTATGCTGCTGCGATTTATTATTTTGTTAGATTAATTTTTCAAACATTCAGAAGCTGGGGCAGGGAAAGTTTCAAGGCATGGTGTTGTTTTTAGATTTCTTTTTATTTAATCAATTGCTAGTGAAAGGAGAATATTCTATTTTTTTTTCGAAGTTGTATATCATAATATAGCTTACTGTTTTCCTGTTCAAAAACCCAGGTGTGTGTTTTGATTTTTGACTATTGTAAGTAAATAAGAAAAGCTTTGAGCCTACATTGATTGTACATGGACGTGCCTTTATTCAGTGTGCTAAAATCTGATCAATTGCCTCTGGGTTAAAATCTCAGTGTCTATTCTAACGTTAACTGGAACAAAGTTTTAATTAGTTTACATGCCTCTGTATGCACTTCACATTTTTTGTCAGTTATTTTCATTAACCTTTTGCTTTGTCATTGATGTGATTAGTGCATTTATTTATACTTCAAAAACCATTTAGGACAACGTTCAAGCAGATAGGGATGACCCCAGTCAACCACTGGTAACTGCTCCATTTGGGCATGCATCACAGGTATTTATAGATCGATGAAAATTTCATTAGATTGTTCTCAGTACGAAAATTTGATATCTATCCTACACTTTCAACTGCCCGTGATGATGATCCCTGAACACGACTTTTCTCAAACAGGAAATCGTAAACCTACTGCTTTCTGGAAATGCTGCTGCTAATGTGTTTGATGGGAGGATGGACTTAGGAGGTGGCATGTTTGTGAATGGCATCTTTACACCTGTGGAAGTTGGATTCCTCACTCTGCTAGAGTCCCTCAATTTTTGTAAGGTTGGCCAGTATCTGAAATGTCCAAGGTGGCCAATATGGGTAGTGGGAAGTGAATCTCATTATACGGTGTTATTTGCTCTTGATACCAAAGTCCAGGACGAGAATGAACTTGAAAGTAGAGAATCGCAAATCCGGAGAGCATTTGATGCCCAAGACCAAAGTGGAGGTGGTGGATTCATTAGTGTGGAAGGCTTCCATCAAGTCCTAAAAGAAACAAGCATTAACCTTCCGTCTGAAAAGCTTGAGCATCTATGCGGCACGGGTTTTATTGTCTGGAGTGAATTTTGGCAGGTTCTTTTGGATTTAGATAAGAGTTTAGGTGGTGTGAAGGATTCATCTGGATTGATGGGTAAGAAGGTCTTTGATCTTTACCACTTTAACGGAATAGCAAAATCAATTGTGAATGGCAGCCAGGCATCATCTGGAGCTGAAAATCCGATACAACGACCTAGACTAACAAAATTGAGAGTTTCAGTTCCCCCAAGGTGGACACCAGAGGAATTCATGGCAGATGTATCAGCAGCGCCTTCCGGCGAGAAACAGAATTCGGATGAAGTATCTAAACCTGAGCCTGCTCAGCATGCACCATTGGTTGACTGCATTAGAACTCGCTGGAATCGTGCTGTTTGCAATTGGGAAGGGGACGCGCCAAGTATTGTTTGATTAAGTCATTAGTTTATGTGCATTGTTGGTATGGGATTTGGATGAGCACATCGTTTAGGTGTGAAGAGTGATCACACACTATTTGAGAAAAGGATTTCCAAGACTAGCAGGAGTCCGTGCGTGCACACCCCCCCCCCCCCCCCCCCCCCCTCTCAATTTGCATGGATCACTCTCAGTATAATAGTAGTACGAGAAACACTATTAGTGTAAGTTCAAATTATTTTTAAATGAAATTATGTTATATGAATGACATTATATTGGAATTGGATATTAGAAATAATAAAGGAGTAAAAATAATGTAAAAATTGTTGACACACTAAAACTGCAGTCCAAATTAAATGGTCCAAAGAATGAAGCCTAGTTGAGAATCCGAGATAAAAGTCCAAATAAAGGGGAAGCAGCCCACAAACAAAGGAACATTGTCACCCAAACTTGCAGAACGCCCAAATATTGAGCGAGTAAAATGCCTTAT